GAAGGGAAGACATCGAGGCAGGTGTGGCATATGAGAGATGCCTGTAATATTGTATAACAAAACAAATGTACAACAAAACCCTTGATACCCAGGCAGTTGGTATGAAGCCTTCCACTCCATCTCGATTTCCAGTCGTCAAACCCTGATGAAATCAATGACGCCTAAACTCCCTTGAGATGCTACCCGAGTTTCCTTGGTCCCTCACATCTCAGTCGCCCTGTAGACTAACATACTGTGCGCCATCGTCTGCGCCTGGCGGGGGTGCAACGACTGGTGCAGCTGGCGAGTGAGCGGCGTTTCCTACATCCGAGCGACCGGCAATCTGCCTCTTTACACCTCTGCCATCGGCTCCCCGCGCGTTCGCCTGCCCTCGTCGAGCGTCCATGAGCATCTGTGAACGCTGCTCCTTGTCCATCGTCCCGATTGCTTTGGGGACACCCCATCGCACTCGCAACGGGCATCCTGCAATAACGGCACGACCCTGACATGATGCAGCAGCTTTCTCAGCCGCCTCTCTCGTTTCGTAGTTGACGAATGCGCAGTGTGACATATGGGAGCAAACCAGACTTTTGAGTCTGCCATGCGTTTTGAAGAAATCTCGGATCTTGTGCTCAGGAAGGTCGTCCTCGATCCCGGTGATGAAGAGGGACATGATATTCTTGTCAGCCGGAGGCATCCAATCCTGTGGTCCAGGAGGCAACTGTGCAGCGCTTGGAAAAGCTTGCTTCGGCCTGCCCGGCCTCGCACCTAGAGCTACGGCAGCTCTCGAGTCTCTGGTTCGGATAGGTCCTGGCCCACCGACACCGGCGCCGACGGCTGGGTTGCCACCTAGTCCACCGCTTGAACCGGAGCCTTTCTGACCCTCGTCGTCGGGATTCTCGACGGCGCGGCCCTTTCGAAAGTACGGTTTACTTGCAGCCAATCTTCGCAGGAGTTCTCTAGCCTTTTCGTCCGTTTTTTCGTATTCTTCGACTCCCGCGCGACCTTCTTCAATGGCGAGTTCGTTATTTTGGGCAAAATATTCGCGGTTGATGTCGGACGATGGCCCCGGGGCTACCATCTTCAAGGCTGCATCGCGAACCACGATGGGCAGCCCAAAAGAAAGGTCCAGCATGCATGCCTGGCAACAGTTTTTGAGCCGCGCGCAGGTCAGGCAGATGTTTGTTCGCTTCTTTCGGCCGTGGGCTCGGTCAGCACTCCAGCTGAAGACAGTGAAAGGTCTCGTACACTACGACGGAGTGTTAGCAGAATGCTGAACGTTGAAGATAGAGTGGCGGGGAAGGTAGCAATACCAATTTGCACTCGGAGCCATAATCTTCTTTCAACATTTTGACGTAAGGATTCTCTGGTAGACAGTTTTCGCAAACAGAAGGGAAATCAGTCGATTCCCAGCCTGAGCGATTCAGGTCTTGTTTGATTTGTGGTGGCATGGCGCCTCGGGGTTCGCAGAGCTCTGCGACGAGTGCGGATCGTGATGTGAGGTGGCCGATGATACGGATCGTGAGATTTTTCAGTGTGGTGAGCGAAGAATCCTGATGTCGCTCGCGAAACTACGTAGGAATGAATGTCGAGCGCGGGCCCGACCGCGCAGGGTTCACTCATTACGGTGCCTACCTACCCACTCCCCGCCACATTTCCTCACTCTAGTCTCCAGGTACCGATACGGAGTGCGTATCTAAAAGTGTGGCGTCGAGCTGCTATCAGTGCTCCACGTCCCGCCTCTTCACGTGATATCCGCCACATTTGCAAACTCGCTGGGCCATTCACCGAACATCTTATCTACATAGTATTCCTCGGGCACGTAAGGCTCATTCAGTACCTTAAGATACTTCAGTTATAGAGTTTTGACTGGACAACCTGGATTCAAGGCATCACGAGTACGAATAGTGTGTGCTGTGTATATTTGAATTACCAGAGACCGAGAAAGTTCCCGATCGATGATGCCCTCCTGGTCTGGTTGTGAAACCAGGGTAGACGGTCGTCTCCAAAACTCCGAAGATGCTCTTGAGCCGTAGAACGCATCAACAAGTCCCTGAATCGACTGTCGACAAGACTGATTGATGGTGCCTACCTGGATATCCGCGTATCTCTAGAACCAGGTAGGTGGCGGATACTCAAGCCCAACCACATCAGGGAATAATCTGGAAGGTGCCTCAGAGGCTAAGACGTGTGTGCAAAGTGTGGCAGTCTATCAGATCGTGCTAGGTAGAAGAACCATAAGCTAAAAATCACTACCAACTGTTCGAATTCGTATTCGGATTGGATAGCCCCTGGCCGGTATGCATATGTTTCCCGCCCAGCCGTCGTCTCACCGCCTGCTCAACAAAGCAAGTACTCGAACCCTTTGCGCCTCTCGATTGGACAATTGCCAGAGATGGGACCCCTGGGGCCAGGTCTCTGTCAATTTGAACTCTGAAGATCCCTGCGACCACTACCAGGTAAATGGACATTGGACAACAGTCCGGCCTCGCGTTTTTCATCTCATTTTATTGCACCAGACTTTGCCTGGTGGCAGGTACTACCGTGCTACGGCCTGTCATTAGCTGTTGTAACGCCCAGGAACAGTGGACTGGGAGGACTAAGAGGGGGATGTTGGAAATTTGACACAGCCAAAACGAGACAATCTCGACCGTTGCCGCGTCCCTTCGACTCCTTTTTCCGCTTGATACTTTGTCACTACTGAAAAAAGCCTACGCCCCCGCTCTCCCGAATACCAACCCGATTGCCCGTCCTAATACCTTACCGATCTTGTTGTCCTGCGCTTTCAATTTATTCCTTCTCCTTCCTTCCTTCCTTACCTCCTTCACCCTTCAGACCAAATACTTTACAGCCTTCCAGGTCTCCACCAAGTTTCTCTTCCTGCAAACAACTTTCCTACACGTTGTCTATTCACTACTCAACACAATGGTTACTTCAACAGCCTCTAACCTCGAGCGCGAGGACCATGCTCGCGATGCTCAATTCAATAAGGCACTGCACGGTACAAGTGCTCAGGCCACTGGTGGTCTTGCCGCCATGTTCAGCAAAGGCCGTGATGCGAAGCAGGCTGCCGTCGATGAGTACTTCAAGCACTGGGACAACAAGGCGGCAAAGGACGAAACTCCCGAGGAGCGCGCAGTATGCAACTCGACCTTTTCCTAGCCTTGAACCTATCTTTACTTGTCACGGATGCTGACCTTTGCTTGACATAGGCTCGTACAGCTGAATATGCGACCTTGACCAGACAGTACGCGGCGCCCCCCCCCCCCCCCTCCTGTACAAACACTAGCTAATTCTGGGTTTATAGCTACTACAACCTGGCGACCGACCTGTACGAGTATGGTTGGGGCCAGTCCTTCCACTTCTGCCGTTTCTCCCACGGCGAGCCCTTTTATCAGGCGATTGCCCGTCATGAGCACTACCTTGCCCACCAGATCGGAATCAAGGAGGGTATGAAGGTGCTTGACGTCGGATGTGGTGTTGGCGGACCTGCGCGCGAAATCGCAAAGTTCACTGGCTGCCACGTCACCGGTCTGAACAACAACGACTACCAAATCGATAGAGCTACTCACTACGCTGCGAAGGAGGGCCTGTCGAAGCAGCTTGAGTTCGTCAAGGGAGACTTCATGGTACGTGGTTGTTATAGTGATCAGATCCATATTCAAATGATTAACGTTGATCTTGCAGCAAATGTCTTTCCCCGATAACTCCTTCGATGCCGTCTACGCCATCGAGGCCACCGTCCACGCACCCAGTCTGGAGGGTATTTACAGCGAGATCTTCCGTGTTTTGAAGCCCGGTGGCGTCTTTGGTGTTTATGAGTGGTTGATGACGGACGAGTACGACAACGACAACCTGGCCCACCGTGAAATCCGCTTGGGCATCGAGCAGGGCGATGGTATTTCCAACATGTGTAAGGTCTCTGAGGGTCTGGCCGCCATGAAGACTGCCGGATTCGAGATGCTCCACCACGAGGATCTTGCTGACAGGCCCGACCCCATGCCATGGTACTGGCCCCTGTCGGGAGAGCTCAAGTACATCCAGTCCGTCTTTGACATTTTCACTATTGTTCGTATGACCAAGGTGGGACGATTCCTCATGCACAATGTAGTTGGTGGACTCGAGGCTCTCAAGATTGCCCCTGCCGGTACGAAGAAGACGGCCGACAGTCTGGCATGGGCTGGCGACTGCCTTGTTGCTGGTGGCAAAGAGCACTTGTTCACACCTATGTACTTGATGGTCGGAAAGAAGCCCGCCAACTAGGCGTCACTTTTGTACGCCTTGGATGCAGAGATGACGGCATAGACGGACACCAACGGAAAAAGATTAGAGGCTATGAATTTTTCTACTCGATGTACGAGTGTTACACCAGTACTATAATTGTAATTAGGCAACTGCAGCCAGACGGTTTTAACGACAATTCACGGTTGGCCATGATAGATAGGAAGTTAGGAAATGTGGGTGAGAGTTTTTCCAGAGGAAAATACGCTGGCCGATAAGCTGGCAAAAGTGACTGGCTACTACACAATGTCACATAGACGTGAGTCCAAGACGAGAGTTCCACATGCACATGCTTATGGCAGACTATTGTTTGTCCATGTAGCCCCCATCGCTTCTCAGCTCACCATCTATGGAAGCGGGTCAAATATTGCAGCAGGTTGCGTGCCGTAGGTAGCTATTGTGTACCGGCTGAGATTATGGATAAGGAGACTTGGGCTATCCTGCAAGGCAGTACATACGATAAATAGCAAGTTTAACGAATGATCCAGAGCCCATTACGGCAGGCCACATAAGAAAGACACTGCTCGAACCTTTTTATTCCTAACAGCCATGAACGAGGGTTGCGGATGATGGTGTCAGCTGTGCACATGATCACCATCACAGTTCTGGGTATTGCTCAAAGACTTTCTGTGGAACATGCATACCTATTGCCCAGACCACCTCATCGAGTCCCTTTTCGTTGATTCTCGCTCGGACCTAAGTGGCTCGCCGTTCGGATGGAAGCGGGTGGCACCGGGCGCATGGTGCGCAGAAAGCGTTTGCTGAGTAGGAAGCTTATGGAGATCCGTGTCCGGCCGTCCCTCGAGGGGGAGCTTAAGCCCGACGCCGACAAAGGAGTACTTAGAAAGGCCGATGCAAACACTCCCGTTAGCTGGGCTAGCCAGGAGTAATGCCAAGAGTATCCGTATTAACGCAGAAAATTTATGGAAGGGAGTCCTTAGGAAGCCAGCGGAGCTTATCGGGATTAAATCGGACCTGGGTTTGGGCGCAATTTGGATGGGGACTAATCGTTGAAATACAGCGTGATTGGCTCAGAAAAGTTACCCCCGATTATCTAATGCTCGAGAACACCGCTAATACTGAATAGGGCTAGCTCCCCGCCCGGGACCTCCCCAACGCTGTTGTCTGGCAGCTCGCCGCAATTCAACGGACTCAACGCCCATACCTAGAGCTGAGCAAAAAAAAAAAAGGCTGCGAAATCCCTCGAGAGCTCCCCGTCGACTTTCTCATCCCTCTCACTTCGACGTCCAATTCTCGTCGTTGGCCATCGTCAACCCCACCACCCCGAGGTCACGTCTTGTCCATCCACGACATTTTTCTCCTCGTCTCCTCATTATCCAGATTCTCTTGGGATAACTAGCTTCTTTCGCGTTGCGACCTGTGCGTCTTTTCTACCATCCAATCCTCCTAAGACCAATATTCGCGATGTCCCGATTCCTCCGTCCCGCAGCACGCCTGGCGTCCTCTGCCAGAGCTGCCTCCCTCCGCACCTCCCCCATCTCTCAATTCGTTAGCCGGCCTGCTGCTTTCACCATCCAGTCACGGACATATGCCGACGCAAAGGGAACCAAGGACTACACTGTCCGAGAGGCCCTCAACGAGGCCCTCGCCGAGGAGCTTGAGGCCAATGACAAGGTCTTCGTTCTGGGTGAGGAGGTCGCTCAGTACAACGGCGCATATAAGGTCACAAAGGGTCTTCTGGACCGGTTCGGCGATAAGCGTGTCATTGATACACCCATCACCGAGAGCGGTTTCTGTGGTCTCGCCGTTGGCGCTGCCCTCAGCGGACTGCACCCTGTGGTAAGTTGCTTCCCCGGCAAGTCGATAAGGTCCATGGACTTTGAATTTGGCTATTCAAATATCCGAGCAACAACTCTCTAGCTCGAACTTATGGAATCAAGGTTTCGGTGGCCTGTGACTGACTCTTGTGTTTCCTCCAGTGCGAGTTCATGACCTTCAACTTCGCCATGCAAGCCATCGATCAGATCGTCAACTCCGCCGCTAAGACCCTCTACATGTCCGGTGGCATCCAGCCCTGTAACATCACTTTCCGCGGCCCCAATGGCTTCGCCTCTGGTGTTGCTGCGCAGCACTCTCAGGACTACTCAGCCTGGTACGGCAGCATTCCTGGTCTGAAGGTCGTCTCCCCTTGGAGTGCCGAGGACGCCAAGGGTCTGCTCAAGGCGGCCATCCGCGATCCCAACCCCGTCGTCGTTCTCGAGAACGAGCTCATGTACGGCCAGACTTTCCCCATGTCGGAGGCTGCCCAGAAGGATGACTTCGTTATTCCCTTCGGCAAGGCCAAGATCGAGCGCTCCGGCAAGGACTTGACCATTGTCACGCTCTCCCGATGCGTCGGCCAGGCTCTGGTTGCTGCTGAGAACTTGAAGAAGAACTACGGCGTCGATGTCGAGGTTATCAACCTGCGCTCCGTCAAGCCCTTGGACGTCGAGACCATTGTTCAGTCTGTCAAGAAGACCCACCGCCTGCTTTCCGTTGAGTCTGGATTCCCTGCCTACGGTGTCGGCTCAGAAATCCTGGCTGTGACGATGGAGTACGCCTTTGACTACCTTGATGCGCCCGCCCAGAGGGTCACTGGTGCCGACGTCCCTACCCCTTACGCGGCCGGCCTGGAAGAGATGGCTTTCCCTACTGAGCAGATCATTGAGAACTACGTCGCCAAGATGCTGCGTCTGTAAGAGAGTTGCGTGTTGTGGACGAGAGAGTACAGGCCTGGGCAAGCTGCCTCTTTGTGGCTTCCGAGGTGGAAGCTGATCTATAATGGCCCTTGGAGCTCGATAGACTTGGGGAAGAAGCTTGTACTTGTATGTTGCTTAGTTGTCATATATACGTCTCATACCCTGGGATTACAACTGTATGCGATGATCCATGCGCTATGGCATAAAGTAGTGAGCCCTTCGCCATTACGGAGTTCAACGTTGTCATGGCTGGGGCGGCCGATGAATGTCAGAGTGACGAAACAAAATATCCCTGGGCAAAATAGGTTCAGAGCCCAGGGACTGGGGAAATGAGGATACCATCTATGTGCGCCATCTATGGCCTGAAGCCACTCAGTGATGAAATAATTTGTCACAAAAACCCCAGGAGCCCGATGATAACTAATATGGAAGTCGTAACCGCTTTATGGCAGAGACTCCTCCATGTGCGATCTTGACTGAAAGTCATCCATCAAAGCTGCCCATCTCGAGCGAAGGTTACCCAAAAGCCTTCCCTTAGAATCATGGCTATTTTGTGATTTCCCCAACTAAGGTATGTAAACATGCGGCCTTTCACCTCAGGTGCTCAAATATTTTGCCTTACCTAAGGGAAGGAGAGGTAGGAGGGGCACACAAATGGAGGTACCTGAGGTGTCAGGTTACAGTGCGGCCACCCCGCACAGCGTCATCAGTGACCACTGCAGTCTCGCCTATGGGTAAGGTACCGTACCGCCTAACTTCATCCCACATCAAGTCCCTTCTTCCTCCCATACCTACCCCAAGGTATACCAGCACTTGGCCTTTGTCAATGATAAGGTAGGCTAAGAGCCAATCTTATCGTCTCATCTCATCTGGCGTTCGTCTCGGCTCATTCTTTCGACAACGTTACGCAGCCCCCGCCGCAGATCGTCGTCAAGATGGCTTCCGACCTGGCTACGGCCATTCAAGGTCTCCATCTCGAGGACCTTCCCGACTCCAACATTGATGACATCTTATTTCAGCAACGGCCCAGCAAGCGCATCAAGCAAGATACTTCAGAGCTGAAGACGAGTCTGGAGACTGACTTTCTCATGCCATGCATGAAATTCTCACCTGAATGGCTCAATGGCCTGCAGCAGTATGCCCTTCAGACGCCAACAAATTCTGCCTTCCATATTCATTAGCTGATTTCTCCTAGGCGCTGGGATTGCCCCGTGGATTATACGGAACTTTTCAAAATTGGCAATCCTCAAACCAGGACTGTGACTCGCTTTGAACGGCACGGTCTTGAGGGCAGAGTGAGTGGCTACCGAAACGTTACCGTGCCTGCCAACAGCGCTACCGCCAAGAATTCGACCTCATTTCTTCGCAAGCCCGCCAATAGGGCTGATTTCGTCCGTGGAGCTGCCGGATTTTTCCCCTTCGCACCTGGTGGTCTTGATGGAATCGAGGCAACCGCCGCACTCGAGGACCAGGTTCACCGGTCTGGAGGCGAAGAGGCTACAGCTGCATCAAATAACAAGCTGGAGCGGGTTATTAAGCTTGGTACCGAAGGCGGGCTACTTGAGATTGCGCCTGGACTGAGTAGAGGATTCAATATCGATCAAAAGAAGCCAGATGAGGACGAAGCCAGGGCGATTGAGCAAGAGCTGGGCCAAGAACCAGAACAACCCCCAGGGACCGACGAAGCAGACGGCGAAGCGCAGACAAATGGCGATAAGCTGAATGAGATTGAGTCCGAGGACGAAGAAGATAGCGAGGATATCGACGCTATTCTGCCTGTCGAGTTCCCCGCTCTCGAACCTCATGGTGCCTTGGCCGCATCGAGTGCAAGGAAGGCCGGCCGAGAGTGGGCTCACATGGTTGATATTAACAGGGACATCACCAACTTCAGAGAATTGGTGCCCGATATGGCAAGAGATTGGCCCTTTGAGCTCGATACTTTCCAGAAGGAAGCCATTTATCATCTCGAGAGCGGTGATTCTGTCTTCGTCGCCGCACACACATCAGCCGGTAAAACCGTTGTTGCCGAATACGCCATTGCCCTCGCAACGAAGCACATGACCAAGGCTATATATACGTCCCCAATCAAGGCCCTGAGCAACCAGAAGTTCCGAGATTTCCGTCAAACATTCGACGAGGTCGGCATCCTGACGGGTGACGTTCAAATCAATCCGGAGGCCAGTTGCCTGATTATGACAACGGAGATTCTAAGAAGCATGCTCTACCGTGGAGCCGATCTCATCCGAGACGTCGAGTTCGTCATTTTTGACGAGGTACACTACGTCAACGATTTTGAGCGCGGCGTCGTTTGGGAAGAAGTCATCATCATGCTTCCCGAACATGTAACACTCATCCTTCTCTCGGCAACGGTTCCCAATACCTATGAGTTTGCCTCCTGGGTTGGACGCACTAAACAAAAGGATATCTACGTCATCTCAACACCAAAGCGACCTATCCCATTGGAACACTACTTGTGGGCTGGCAAGAACATCCACAAAATCGTTGACTCCGACAAGAAATTCATCGAGAAGGGTTGGAAGGAGGCCAATTCGGCGATTCAGGGCAAAGAGAGGACCAAGGCCCCCGAGCCCGTTAACGCGCCCCGCGGCGGTGGTGGTCAGAGAGGTGGCCAGAGAGGAGGATCCCAGCGCGGCGGGCAGCGAGGGGGTCAGCGTGGCGGCGGTCCTCAGCAAAGAGGCCGTGGTGGAGCGCCGCGCGCTAATCACAACCCGGGTCACATGGGACGAACAGGTCGTCAGGGTGGGTTTACCTCTGCAGCCCAAGACAAGAACCTCTGGGTTCATCTGGTTCAGTTCCTCAAGAAGTCGAACCTTCTGCCTTCTTGCATATTTGTCTTCTCAAAGAAGCGGTGCGAGGAAAATGCCGATGCACTCAGTAACCAGGACTTCTGCACAGCGACTGAGAAGAGTGCCATTCACATGACTATCGAGAAGTCCGTTGCCAGACTTAAGCCCGAGGATCGGGCTCTGCCACAGATTATCAGACTCCGTGAGCTTCTGTCCCGAGGTATTGCGGTTCATCATGGAGGGCTGTTGCCAATCGTCAAAGAGATTGTCGAGATACTCTTTGCCCAAACACTTGTCAAGGTACTTTTCGCCACGGAGACTTTCGCCATGGGACTCAATCTACCGACTAGAACAGTCGTTTTCTCCGGATACCGTAAACACGACGGCCATTCCTTCAGAAATCTGCTTCCTGGCGAATATACACAGATGGCTGGCCGAGCAGGTCGCCGTGGCTTGGACACAGTCGGCTCGGTTATCGTCGTTCCGCCGGGCGGGGACGAAGCTCCTCCCGTTGCCGACCTTCAGAAAATGATTCTAGGAGAGCCGTCGAAGCTCAGATCCCAGTTTCGTCTCACTTACAACATGATTCTTAACCTACTCCGAGTCGAGGCTCTCAAGATTGAAGAGATGATCAAGCGTAGCTTCTCGGAACATGCTACCCAGCAGCTGCTACCTGAGCATGAGAAAGCAGTTAAGATTTCGGAGGCCGACTTAGCCAAGATCAAACGAGACTCATGTAGCGTATGCGACGTGTCTATGGACGAGTGCCACCAAGCGTCAGAGGACTACAAGCAACTCACCGGGGAAGTTTACAAGTCTCTCATGGGTATTCCCATCGGTCGCAAGATGTTCAGCCAGGCCCGCTTGATCGTTTACAACAGGGACGGTATTCGCACACCCGGCATCTTGCTGTCGGACGGCGCAAGTGACAAGGGGCAAGGTGGACCTACTTTACATGTTTGCGAGATCAGGCTCATGAGGGAGACCCGTGATTCGACAGACCTTCTGCCGTTCATCCCGGCCTTCCGCAAGTACTTGACACCGCTACCGCAGGCGAAGAAGCACATGCGGATTAAGACCCTGCAGGTCCCTCTGAGTGATGTTGAATGTTTGACGAGGTACGTCACCAAGGGCATTGTGCCAGAAATTTTCCAGGGCGGGGAGAAGTACGCAAAGGCAAAGGACAGACTCCATGCGCTGTGCCGGTCGTGGGATGATCTTTGGGACGAGATGGACCTCTCCAAGATAAAGAACCTCTCATTTCAAGAGGTGATGAAGAAGAGAAAGGATGCAGAAGGCGTTGCCTCATCCTCGCCTGCTCTTTCTTGTCCTCAATTCTTGAAGCATGTAAGTTGAGTTATGGCCGACTTGAGAGGAAATTCAATCGCTGACATTGATTATAGTTTGCCATGTGCCATGATCAGTGGCTTATCAAGGAACACATCTCTCAGCTCCGGCAATCCCTCTCAGACCAGAACCTACAACTTCTGCCAGACTACGAACAGCGCATCCAAGTGCTTAAACAGCTCCAATTCATTGACGAAAGCGCCAGGATACTGCTGAAGGGAAAGGTTGCCTGCGAAATTCACTCGGGCGATGAACTCGTTTTGACAGAGTTGATCTTGGACAATGTGCTCGCCGACTATGAACCAGCCGAAATCGCTGCCTTGCTTTCGGCGTTTGTTTTCCAGGAAAAGACGGACACACAACCAAATCTTACGGGCAACCTCGAGCGTGGCAAAGATACCATCATTGCTATCAGCGAGAAGGTCAACGAAGTCCAGACGCTGCACCAAGTTATACAGTCTGCAGATGATTCGAATGACTTTATTTCTCGGCCTCGCTTCGGTCTGATGGAAGTTGTTTACGAATGGGCGCGAGGTATGAGCTTCAAGAACATTACTGATCTGACCGATGTCCTGGAAGGAACTATTGTGCGGACTATCACGCGTCTGGACGAGACATGTCGTGAGGTCAAGAACGCCGCTCGCATCATTGGAGACCCGGAATTATACCAGAAGATGCAGACAGCTCAAGAGATGATCAAGCGCGATATCACGGCAGTTGCCAGTCTGTATATGTAGACCTTGTTTTGCATGTGAGCAGCAAGCACACGCTTGGTTTTTCGCTCGAGGTTGATGGGAGCTGGTCCAGTTTAGTTTAGTTTACCTTAGGAATTAAACAAAGTGGTCA